ACGTTTTATTTGGAGAAGCTGGAAGAACGTTTTTCAAGCTTGAGAACTCTTTGGAAGTAGTTTGGGAACGTTTGAGTGTCACTGCGTTTTACTCTGCACGACTCTTCTAAGAAGAAGAGTGACTGAGCTGTCCAACCTGTGTGGTTTGGCTCAAGTCCGAGGTGTGAAAAAGAGCTGCCACGCCGCGCTCGTGTTTTCACATGGTAGCGGAGCCATGAAATCTCTATAGAAGCGCTGACACCAAGGTCGTCTTAAAATTGCAGACGCTGACACTGGATAGGTACCCCCAAACAAAGGATGGCCCTAAAACGCACCATGTTTCGATGCTTATAATTTCCGAGAGGATATTGCAAGCAGGAAAATTCTACTTTGAGCCCACTTTGAGCATCCGTCCGCGCCTCTCCCCAACCTATTTCAAGGATTTTGAGCTTCGATGAGCCCCCTTTGAGCATCCTTTGAGCTTCCTTTGAGCCCACATTACCCTCCGGGGCCTCTACCCAACCTATTTCAAGGATTTTGAGCCCAAGGGGGACCCGGGGTACTATAATACTAGTTGTGAAGTCTGAGAACTGTTCCGTGAAGTCTGAGAACTGTTCCCGTGTTAAGTTGAAACTTGGCCCTGTAGAATTTTAGTCTGCAACTTTTCCCTAGTCCTACGCTGAGAGAGGTGTGGAATCTTTTCTTTGATCACTTGCTGTGGATGAAAGAACAGCTGTGCAATCACCCATGGTGAACATTCACCATCTATGAACCGCATTTTGCGGGTGCTTCGATGGCCAATAAGTGCACAACATCTACATTGCAGCGGGGAAGGGCAGTCGGACATCATGCTGTGGGTTAGGTTCACAGAAAAACAGCAAGTCCCCAGAAAACAGTGTTTTGCCTGCATTTTATGAAAGATTTTGGGACTTGTGGTGGTATGTACATCTTTTGATCAATTTTCAAGCTCAATCGATACTGCAGTACAGCCATGGATTCACTCGAAGCTCTGCCAGGGAACTGTGGTGTGAGCCCAACGATTGCCAATGAGCCCAGCCAGCCGGATGGAACCAGAATGACGCCATGAAGGGCTCCCAATGCATCGGAACTTGATGGCCTTTGGAGATTTTTCCAGATCGCTCTGACCTTCCCATTTTTGGAGAAGGTCCGCATCAAGGTTGCTTGTGGAACCGTCTCAATAAGGAAGCTTCCTCGAGCCAACCAGTGGCAACCTCAGCTCCGGTGGTCCCAGCAGACACCTCATGGAACGAACTGTATCCCCAAAACTTGGTGTCTCAGTTCTCTCTGAACTGAAGCAGTGCAAGAGAGGTCCTTACTCCGTCTCCGAAAATTATTCAGATTCAGCATGTATCTAATTGTCTTGATCACCACAGTCTTTCCTTTTCAGTTGTTGATGAGAGCCTGCAATCGAACCGCTTCGAGGCTCGGCGAGGCCTGGCCGAGACCACGTCTCAGACGCAAAATGTATTGGCAAGGACAAAGCGAGACTCATGTGGACTCGAAACTCTATAATATTATTGTTGAAGTCCCAGCAAGGCTGAAGAAGTTGTTGGTGACTGTGCTGCCTTGCTGGGCAGCTGGCGCAAGGGACGGCCTCAAGGCAAGCCTCGAACCCAAGGGTGTGGAAAATTGCAGCAAAAACAAAAAATTGTGCGATGGAACAAAGTTCCGAGCTCCAATGTCCGGAGACCATGGACATTGGAACAAAACACCTTGGGGCAGGCTTTGAGACAGGCTTCGAGGCAGGCTTCGAGGGCCTCAAGGCTTTGAAATTGGAGCAAAATAACATGACAAAAAATGGTGCTTTTTTGGTGCTCAAAATGAACAAAAAAAGCAGACGCACAAAAAAATGGATCTCCCCAATTCAATTCTAGCCGCAGCTGTTGCTGGTGAATCAATTTCAACTTGAAATAAACGTTTCACTGGACGCAATGAAGAGGCCAAAGTCGAGGAGGTCCACTTTCTGATGCCTTTTTAAAAACGTTTCCTTTGCACGGATGTCCAAAACTGGACCCTCAACAGATTGCATCGGAGGTCAAGTTTTAAGCGCTCCCAAGCACCTTCTTCAGCTGCACAAAGCACATCAACGTCACACCACAAACCGACACCGTGTTCGCAATAAGGGTCTCGAACAAGGGAGACCCCCCAACTCCGTCTCCAAAATATCAGTTTCAGGTGCCTATCTGCGTGTCTTGAGCATTACAATCTTTCGTTTCTGTCATGTTGATGAAAGGTTTCCAAAGCCCTCTCTGCATCAGATTCCAGAGGATTCACCGTAAATATATTTTTTGCTTGCGTGTGGCCGATTCATCGGTTCTGACTGAACACAAAGAAAGATAAGAAAAAGATGCCGTAATCTGTACAGAGCAGGAACCAATGCTCTTTCACCAACATAAAAACAAGTTGGCCGATGGTGTAGAGTCACACTTCCCCAGACCAGAAATGTGTATCTCCTCACGCAAAACAGACACCTTCCATTTTAGTGGAGTTGACGAACTCAGTCGCTGGGATTTCCATTGTCCTCTTCCACCTCAATTTAACCGTGCTAATCGAATCAGGATCGATTTGAAAGATTTGTGGTTGATGCGAATTCATCCGGTAGTTGTTCCACCATCAACATATTTAGCTTGGAACCTTCCAACCTGATTTTTCCCGTGCTGGTCATCACACCTTCGTTTGGGGATTTAATATTGCGTTATGCCCATCACTTGAATAGTTTCACTTGGTCTTTAAATTCATCCATTAAAGGATGGGTTTGCTAACATGATGCAGAAACAGCTGCATTAACCAGCACTGGAAAAAGGAAAGCTGGTAGTGCCGAAATTTGCTGTGTGAGAGGGAATGTGCACTAAGTAGAACTTTACATGTACTTGTTCATGTGTGTTTTACTGTATGTGTAAACCCGCAACACACCTGGTTCAAGTGCACATTCACGACACAGCATCATGCTTGGTTTCTGGGCAATTCATTTGCCCACCCTCCCTCACCTGTGATCTATGAATTTTATCATTCACGTTTATTATCGTCATGGACAGTTTTGCTGCTTTCACTCATAAGAGGGATCTGCTTTGGCATTTCGTACAGCCCACTGCTCGACCCAGGGGTTCAATTTGAACTCAAAGTGCATCAGGCCTAATTATATTTTTGTTTGGAATCATCTCTTTAATCTCTTTTATCATTTCGCTGTGCTTTATTCCTTCTACAGTTGACGGTTTATTGAAGTCTAAGACTTCATGCAGCGGTCTTTAAATCTATCCATTAAAGGATGGGTTTGCTAACATGATGCAGAAACAACTGCATTAAGCAGCACTGGAAAAAGGAAAGCTGCTAATACCGAAATTTGCTGTGTGAGAGGGAATGTGCACTAAGTAGAACTGGAAGCTGAAACGTTGAGCAGTAAGCAGGCTCAGCCTTCGTGGGCGTATGCAATTTGCAGATACGCAATTGTTAAGGATCGCCTTTTCCTTGGACTTTTTGCAAAGCTGCTAAAGCAGAACATACCCAGGGAGGTCAGAGCCGCCGAAACCCTTAATGCAGTTGTTTTCACTGATGCATGTTACGAGAGGAACAGCGTTGATTGGCCTTGTGGAATAGACGGGGTGTTTTTCTTTCAGCAAGAGGTTTGCTTCTTTTCATTGAAGGTGAATGCAGCTGCGAGAGAGGCGCTTGGAGAATAGGTCAAAAAACAAATTATCTTTGAGGCGGAGGCGCTGGCTGCAGTCATTGCATTTCGTCTTTAGTTGCCACGCTTCACCAACAGAAGATGTATCTTGTTTGTAGGCAACGAAGGTACTAAGTTTTCTTTGCTGCGTGGCCCATCTGACAACTTGGTCGTCGATTTTTTGGCGGAGCATTTTGTGGAACTTGGAGCATCCATGCACGCTTTCACTTGGTTAGCGAGAGTGCCATCCAGCTGCAATGTGGCCGATGCACCGTCCAGGGGTGACACCAGTGGAAAACTTCATTGCAATGCTACAGGTGTTTCAGCTGAAGCGAATGTCATTTTCATGGATTTGGTGTCGCAGTTGGAGAAGTTGGGGAAGAGCGGCTGCGCACCATTCCCATGTGTCAAAAAGAAGTGATTGCTTGCTTCAGCTTGAATGTGGTTTGATGAAGAAATTGTTGCCATTTTTGACAAGAGCTTCTGACAGCAAATGCAACTCGCCGTGTTGCAAACATTCACCTCAAGTGGCGGGTGGGCGGGTTTTAGCACCTCGCTTGATTTCTTCCAATCACCCACCGCCATCCCCAAGCACCACTTGGTCACTTAGAGGTTCCAATGTTGCCTAACCCAACAACAGCCGACGGAGCGGCTGCGCACCATTCCCATGTGTCAAAAAGAAGTGATTGCTTGCTTCAGCTTGAATGTGGTTTGATGAAGAAAACAGGAATACATTGCGCTCACAGATGTTCAGTTTGATTTCGTGTTTCAATGTTTTTCAGGACGCCATGGTTTGTCAAAAAAGTATTGGTTTGGACATGGTTTTTGATTTGGTCGATTTTTTTCAATTAAGTATGTTTGTATTTTTTCGTTTTCTTTTGGACCATGGTTTTGTTATGTTGTTTTTTAAACCAAGCAACATTAATGCGGGGAAACGACCAGTGCAGTAGGGGTTTCATAATCCATAGGTTTTGCCAATGTGGATTTTACTTTGTTTTTTTCTTTAGTTTTTGGTTCAGAAACAAACGGGTTTAGCCTTCACAGAATCATCAAATTGACAGGAAATGTGTGGTACCAACAGCAACATGGAAGGGCCATAAACATACCCAAAATATCAGAAACAAATGTCAAAAACAAATGCCCAATAAAGAACCAAAACAAACAATACCGATTCAAACAACAAAAATTCACCTTACATCAACAACAGCAACAACAATCATCAGAATACAATGCAAGTCAAATCATTTTTTTGTGACATCTCCAGCATGAACCATTACAGAAAGGATGCTGTGCACCACAAGGTTCTTACAGTGTATGGTCATTTGATTCAATTGCATTGCAACAATGCACCATTAGTGACTTGTTCCACATGCACCGTGGATTTTTGCAGAGTGCTTCTTGGCTTTGAGGGTTAGCAAACCAGTAACTGTTGCGTTGGTGGACACTGTTCCTTGGAAGGGGTGGATTGAATTGACCGAGGCTGGATACGGAGGCACAAGCGGATCCTTGGATTGAAGTAATGAATGATTGCACCCGCCTGCAATGGTTTATTTTGTCGTGCAATGTTTGCGTTACCGTGCTAGTGTTCTTGTCATGTCTCTACATGACCAGAATAAGGCACTATGTAATACCAATTATGCACAGTGTTTATTGCAGTTTTGAATAAATTTTGATTTGCAAATGTTTGTCAATGATTTCCTTGGCCCAGTTTTTGTGTCAATGTTGACATTTTGCGATGGCACTTGTATGTTTCTTGTGTCTTGGGGCTGCAATTTCCGAGGTGAACCAGAACATTTGACAAATTTACGGGTTGCTTTGGAGAAAGAGGAGGCAGGCGCCAATTTTTGGGCAATGGTAATAATAATGTCATGGTCACAAAAAGTATGATTTGTACATAAAATGAACTGCATTATCATTCAATTGAAAAAATGAAATGTGTTGGTTACTTTTGCACGTGTAGGCTCTCTTGTTAGAACCTGCCAAATCATCCAAATTATCAGGGTTGCTCCAACCCATTATGGGTGAATGGTAGCCACAAGGGGGGTATTCTAAATCTTGATTTACCCCCTTGTACTTAGGGTGTTTGGAGCAACCCTTACTATTGTGTGACCTTCCATGCGTGTTGCCTAGCACATGTTTGTCAGAGGGGCATCAGGTCAATCTTGGTGAACTCAATACGATCACCACAATGGTAGATATTTACTAAAGATATGGTCACCTCTCTTTGTTACAAGTCTACATGAGTAGAAATTCTCCAAATCCCTAAGACAGGATATGACCGGATGTTTAAAATCTCAAAACAACGCGTCCTACGGGGATGATGGGACGATGCCGCAGGAGCAGCTACGACATCTCCGACAGCAGCGCTTGCAGCTGGAGAGTTCCAAGGTGACGATTTGCTATCAAAATGGAGTCCAACAACAATCTAAACGTTTCTAAACCAACAGAAATTTATTTATCAGTGGTTGACATTACAATTTCATACAATTTTGACTATGTATCAAACATGTATTTAAATAGATAGACCCAGAGGATATTTGAAGGTTGGGACCTGCGTTGGATCTATTAAGCTCCCTCTCTCTCTCTATGACTTAGTTTGCACCTCTGGCGTGGACGATTCGCATGCACAATTTGACTTATTTTTTGGTTACATTAACATTCCATTTATTTTCTTGAATTTGGACTTTGCCCCCTGGATTTCAAAAACTTCATCTCGTCCTTTTTACAATTGAAGACCCACTCATTCCTGGAAAATCTAGATTCAACTTGTTTTATGCCGGTAACTCCTACAACATTGCTCTTTCTAAATGCCAAACATGCACACAAGAGATTCTTTTTGCCTTGGTTCATGATGAATTTGAAATGGGGATGGGACCTTATGCCCGATCCAGGGAATGACTTTTAATGATAAGTGATGTTTGGTGGTGACTGCCAGACTCACCTAACACGTTTCTGCACCAAAAAAAAGGTGGCTGAACTATGGCCAAAAGCTTTCAGGCACAACAACCTCCTTTTGCTCCAGATTTGCCTTGCGATGCTCCAGATGACATGGCCATGAAGGTGGGGAAACGCCCAAAATGTCCCTGCATTCTCCCAGATCCGACTTTTGGAATCTCCTGCATCTCCGAAAGGCCTTGGCCGAGCATGAGGAGCCTCCTCCGGCCATGCTACATCGGTCGCTTGGCCATATCATTTCGAAGCGCTAAATGTATCTAAATCATGTTTGCATGGCAACTGCATGGATGAAGAGGGTGAAATTTTTGGGGCCATTTGTTTGGCTGATTGGGGCCGTAACGACATTTTCCTGAGCAAATTGATCCAGAGATTTTTTCAACAAAACCCAGGCTTGGTGTGGCAGTCATGCTGCTTCTTGAGGCTCAGTGATCTCGTGGGTGTCATCTTTCTTATGTTCAAAAACAAATGGGTATGGGTCAAACATGAGGTACCAATGGACCCTCAAATTGGCAAGTTTTCGTAGTAAATCATGTATTTGTTTGGGTAAATCATTTTGAATCTTGACCCATACCATCCCATACCCAAATGAGGACTTGATGCGAAGTCTGCTTGTTTCGCACGTAGCTTCTCCCGAGTTTCATTTTGGATGGGCAGCCCGGCCCTGTGTCGTGTCTCAGGCACCATTCTTGGTGGATTTGGGGGATCATCCGCTGCCATCGCGGGTTCCATGGCGAAACCTGCAAGTTCTCCTGCGCAAGGAGAAGGTGACCATTCCAAACAAGGACATTTTTCTTGGAATTTTGGAGGGGACTGGTGGGATATGTTTGCTGATCTACTCGAGGTAGAGTCTGGAGTTTCTCTTGAAACTATATATTTGGATTGGCAGTGTTTGCTTCCTTTGTTGGGATGGGAGAGTAAGCCGAGTTCAAGGAAATCTGGAGTGCCCTGCCAGGATGAACATTCGCAAATGAAGGAAATCCTTGCAGCTTTGCAAAAAGGGCCTTTCAACCAGCGCCTTGCTCTCCATTTGAAGAGAATACTTGGCGGTGATCCCCCAGTGACGCGGTCCGAAGTTCTGGAACTTGATCCAAAATGTGTCGTTCTCTTCGACTGGGTCACGAATTTGGTAGCGCCTCTTCTTGGTGGGAGCCAAGCCCCCGAAATTTTGGAAGTCCCAGAACTCCCAGAGCAACGAGAAAGTGCTTCTGTGGCTGTGGGAGAACAAGAGAAGAAGGTGGCCCAGCTACGCCGGAAGTTACGTGAAACAATTCGTTCCCAGCAAGCTGCTGCTGAGTTCGCAGCGCAGAACAAGCCTGGAAATGTTGAGATGGACACCCAGTGTGTAGACCCGGTACGCAATGGGCACAGCAACGGCCAAGGTCGCCAAGGTGGGGCCGAGGAAAACGAGGTGCTTGGAAAGAAGGTCTCCAAGAGGGAACTTCTGGAGTTGGAGGTCACAGGGCAGAAATCTCTCCAATACCGTTTGGAAGAGGTCACAATTCCTTCTACCCAGGAGGCCATACTGCAATCTCTGGTTAAGATCTTGATGGAACCGCGAGGAATGCATCGGCATTTGGAGGTTGTTGGTCATTGTGAGGACAGCTCTTGTCCAAAGATGTTCGACCTTATCAGCTCTCAGAGTTTCATGCGACCGGGGTATGGTGTATTCCCAGCATGTGCTAAGCATCACATGCTTGTATTCTATTTTGCTGTAGCTGTTTGTGCCGTGCAGAATCACACCCAGGTATGGATATTTTGGTCCTGATGAGGCGCCCAAATCATAAGAATCCCAGAATCCCATGGCGTTTCATTCAGATCCATTGTCGAAATCCATCCCAAAGCAACTTCGAATCAGGACCGCGAGTCTGATGACGTGGCCCAACGCCGTGCAGAGGCTGCTACTCAGTGGCTACTTGAGGCTTGGCTTTGACAATTCATCAATGATCACACAGTTCTTGTGACGTTCCCCCTTCTCTGGCCGCAGATGTTCCCTGGTCAGGCGGGTATCCCTGCCGAGCGGATGACGGTTTCCTGGGAGGTGGGTGGTCCAGCCCTCTGTCGTCGCACGGACTTTCGATTGCTGGACAAAGCCGGCAGCGAGCTGGAAATGCGGCAGAAAGCAGAGGAACTGATGAGGCGTCTTTTTACAGGTCAGCTGAGTCAGCCAGATCAACCAGAGAATGGACACCATCAACCTTCCAACATTTCCAACAGCCTCGAAGACTCTTCTGACCGCGATCTCTCGAAGTCTGGAGAAGCTGATGTGAAGGTACCGGCTGGTCCAGCAGAGGTCCATGCCGACGAAGTGGAAAAACAGAAGGGGTCTCCAACAGTGAGCTTGGAAGTATCTGGAGAACAGGTACGTTTGGTCTTCAAGAAGGCGGGATACTTGCCGCCTAAGAACCCCTGATGGGGGAAGCAAGAAACAGTTTTTGTGTTCATAATTCATAACTCATAACCACAACCCATCGAATCTGTCAGGGTTGGTCGAAGAGTCTTTCAGCGTTCCGCCAGGAGGGGCTCTCGCCCCAAGATGCACTCCTGGACGTGGGCGCAAAGGTGGTGCGACTTGCAAGCTTGTCCGGTAGCTGGCCACAGAAGGAGGTGCGGCTCCAACTCTGATCTGCAACCAAGGATCAGAGTCTGCTTAAATTTTGCGGACGATCTATGATTTATGATATTTATGTAATTTATGCATGCTATATATATATTATATTGTTTGTATATGTTTGTAGTACAATTATTATACAACTATATTGTACTATATATATATATCATTATACATACGCATGCAATTAGATTCTGCAAACAAAACACCGTGGTGATCGTATTGTTCCGAGCGCGAAGCGAGCCGAATTCGCCAACTCTTTCTCAGGTCACCTTGCCCTTTGACGTCCAGCCAGAAGAGCCAGCAGCACCTCGACTTAGCCAAGTCTTTGTGTTAGGAATCCGATGGGAAACAGAGCATACAGAGCTTGCTTTGCACCTTTGGTTTTATGAGAATACACTACACCTTTTTTTTACTCATTGATGTTTGATGTCACCCCTTCAGACAATGAAGAATATTCCTTAAGAAGAAACATGGACGATCAGTGGATGACTATAAGTATGAACATAACTGTCGCGGTAGTACTAACCATTCATATCTCTTCATCTGTGAGTCTACACTTTTTCAGCAAGCGCAGTTGCTCACCAAGGCCAAGTTCTCGCGTAGAGCAGGCTGGTTGTCCATGGGCCATTGAAGATATTGAAGAACCTTGACAAATCATGAACATTTTCATGGTTCTATTCATGGCTGATTGCGCATTCATGGTACAAAAACCCAAATCATCATATGAATTATATAATGGTTCTTATTCATTAATTCTGTTTGGAAGACATATGGATGTTTCTGAATTTCTTGGATTTCTGAAGAGTCCAAACCCGCGACAGGCACTTTGACACTTACGCTGGCAGCTGCGAAGTGAAAAGTCAGTCGGGCTGGAGAGCGGAGAGCATTTTGCCGACCTTCATAAGACTATTAGTATCTATTAGCTGCCTGATACATTATAATATTAGTTATTAGTATCCATAATATTAGGATAAGAGATACTAGTAATATTGTGATGATTTTCTTTTTTGTTGATGACTGGTAGCTGACTCAACTATCACACTCAGCCAATGGAAAGATATGGAAAGCAGCATCGACCGCAGCATCGATGTCAAGCACGATACAGAGATCCTTCTGACGTTGGAAGAAGCCTCCCTCTCTCAAAACTGTATGTTGAAAGCTCAGACTGGTGAACTCGCATGCCTAGCTTTTATGAAATAGCAATTCTATACAGGGATTCTGGAATAAAGTTCCACAAAATGCCACCGCAACGTCAAGCGCAAGAAACAGGCACTCCCCCACATTTAAAGTCTTGTGCATTTCAATGCAACCATTCTTGCCAAGTGGACCCATGCTGATCGCCAATGATACTGGATTTGGGCATCTTTGTTGCAAGCAAAGGGATTTGGTGCCATGCCTCTCATGGAGGAAAAGATATGTTTGAAGAGGAAGATGGCAAATGGCAATTATGATTTGTCAGCATGCTGCAATTGGGGCATGTTCGCTTGAATAGACACAACTTGAAAGCACGTCTTACGCTGCATGAAGTGAGCATACATGAGTCTGAATATAGTGCGCCCCAAAATCTAAAACTAACCGTCACTAACTACCCAAATATCATTCAAGTCTAATTATATCATATGATATCCCCAACAGATCCACAGTAGATCTTTATGGTTTGTCCCTGAGATCAAGGTAGATAGACCCCCACATAAAACTAACTGTTGGGGACGTTATTAATATATATATATATCTATATCTACAACATGTATATATATATATTATATATATAATGCAAACATATATATATATAATGTGCATATATATATAATATCATGTACATGATATGTATATAAATATATACATGTACATATCCATACATCCATACATCCATACGTCCGTACGTCCGTACGTATGTACATACCTACGTAGGTACGTAGGTACGTAGGTACGTAGGTACGTAGGTACGTACGTACATATTAAATATTATGTACGTGCAAACTATAGATATGTATAGATCTTGTGTACAGCAAATATCCCCTATGGATGGTTAAAAGTGGTTCATGTGGTTCATATTCCCATAAAATCTCCATGAATTGCGGTCAGGCGAAGCTCGTCCACGAACGGAGGTCATCGCGACCACCTGGAAGAGGCGGAAGTTGGCAGACGAACTGTGGCCCCATATGCCGGATCCAGTTGACGATTTTATTGTGTTGTTGTATGTTCATATATGTTGTCAATAGTGTTTAATATGTTTTATCAAGTTTTATCATTTTTTTTTTTAAACATTGGGTTTGATAGGTTCCGATATGCTTTTGAAAGGTTGTACAGCTTTATATGGTTTGATATTGAGCGGTTTTGAGATGTTTTCTACATGTTTTCATAGCTTGTAATATCTTTGGATATGTTCTGACACGGTTCAATAGGTTTTATACAATGCGATTAATGTTGATATGTTTTAACAGATTTTAACATGGTTTGATATGTTTTGATATCGTTTGGTAGGATTTATATAATGTGTTTTCATATTGTAATATGTTTTGCTATGTTTTGACATGTTTCATTTTCAATATAAACCTATTGTATATATATATATATATACATACTCTTAATAATACGTTTGAATATGTTTTTAACAGTATTTGGGAGATTGTAAGAAGGAGATTCGTTATTTGTCCAATGTTTACTCTTTATCACCACCCATTTGTGTGGGCGTTTCTGAAGGTTGGGAGGTGCTGACAACGCAGGGGAATTTCATATTCATTCGATTGCATCGACAAACTTATGCGCGCGTGTGTATATATATATAGTATATATATATTATATTATATATATATATGTGAATGTGTATATGCATCATACAGACGACATGTATGAAATAGATCTAATGTAGCTGTATTATAATTATATTGTATATTTTAACTTGAGCATCGCCCCATGCGTGCGTACAACACTTGCAAACAGGCCTCTATGGTCACAGGCTGGGATGCTGGCACAGATTTGACTTTTCTGTGGCGCTTGGATGAAGGGAACATTTAGCACGAAACATCTAAACTTGGAAGTAGATGAAACAATGGTGACTCCTGCAATTTTTCCTTAAATATGATTAGTTGATGTTGGATTGGAATGATTGTGGCTGGCTTTGAAGGAGAACTTGTCAGACTGGTGGGCCTGCTATGCTGAGAAGCTAGAAGGCTTGGACATGCAAACCTTAGTTCAGAATCAATCTTGTGCAGGCCTTGTTTGGACTTTCAGGACTAGACTTCTTGGGTTAACGCTAACCAATCTTCGACACAATCTCTTTGTCAGACCAGATTTGACAATGATAGTTTTCCCTGGACCGATGGGCCGTTTCTGCAAGGTGCCAACGAGAGCACTGAAGAGACTGAAGGAACCATTCATGCTTGCGAGCATCTCAGACCGGGACGGTGAACGGCTGGGCCCGGCTGGGGTCGTTTGGCGCAGCTTCTTCGGTTGCAATGCACTGAGGCTTTAGCTTTCTGGGATGCTTCATTAGCATCTCGCTGCTGGGACTCCTCCAGGAGTTCCTGGTGCCTGGCTTAAGCAACTTGGCCGATTTTGACACTGAACATCAATCCAATCCGGAATGAAAAGACAGGCTTTTCTCGGGTCTTGTCCGAATACCCGGAGCTAGAACTTTGAAGAAGCAAAGATTTTTAGCAGGTTGGCACTCCATTAAAGACTGACAGAAAGGGAATCCAAGATAGTTACAATAGGTCTGAGGTTGCACATGTGGGTTGAAGGCCCCACGAAGGCCTGATTCGTTAAGCAGCTTCATGTTTTCTCACTCCTGGACAGCTATGACAGCTATGAAAGTGAGCAGAAACACATGAAAACTATAGTGTATCTTCATTGTATCTTCCTCTCTAGCTTGTCAAGCTCATGGTGTTCCGTGTCCATGACTGAACTGAGGCAATGTTTATCAGGCACGGCAGATGCAGGTATTTTTCGTTCACTTTGGTGTGGCGAGTTGCCGAGTTTCCTCCGTGAAAGGTGCCACTGGTGCTCTTGACGCCTTCATGGGGCGTCACAGCCATCCAGGCAGGGAAGAAATGAAGGCAGGTTTGGTGGACAGATTATTCAGAATAACCTTCCAAAATCAACATGATGGGTGAACGATTGGATGGTTTGTTATGCATATATTAAGCGCTTACGCGCGACAGCCGGCCAGGGGCCCAACTATGTAGGCCCATTTTGTGGCTATGCTGGCCTATGTTGGCCTATGTTGGCCTATCTTGCGGGCAATGTGGGCCCAGCTTGTGGCTATGTTGGCCTCATGTTGATTCATGTTGAGCCAAAAGATCCGAAAAATGGGGACAGCAAAAAAAACACTGTAAAACGCAGGATATTTTGATGGTCGGCGGCCTATCTTGGGGCTATGTTGGCACATCTTGGGGGCTATGTTGCCCCAGCTTGAGGTTATGTCGGCCCATGTTGGGGCTATGTTGGCCCATCTTGGGGCCATGTTGGCCCATCTTGGAGCTATGATGGCCCATCTTGGGGCTATCTTGACCCATCTTGGGCGCTATGTTGGCCCATCTTGGGGCTATGTTGGCCCATCTTGGGGCTATGTTGGCCCATCTTGCGGCCTATGTTGGCCCATGTTGACCCATCTTGAGCCACAAGATCCGAAAAATGGGAAAAAATTGGAAGAGCACAAAACACCGTAAAACGCGACAGTTTTTGGCGGGGGGGAGAGGTCGGCGGCTGGGGCGGCGGCCCCTCTCTCCTACGGAGAGGAGAGAACTGCCGTACGGCAAGGACACGGCCAGGGGGCCCCTGGCCGGATTATAAAGGGCTCCGCCCCCTGCCGCCGACCCCTGGGCTTTTCTTCTGTGGCGCGTGAGCCTCAGAACTTGACATTTTGGACCACTTTTGCGAGGTTTGGAAGATTTCGCTTGTGTCGCACCGACCGATGGACCGTGCAGAATTGATCACAAATGGAGGCTTCACCAAACAGCGGAACTCCGAGGGACGGACCGGGACTGCAGACCACGGCCCCCAGTGCCTAGCGTTGCTTTCTGAACCGACAAGAAAACTAGCTCTCTGAGCTGTCTGTCTTCCAGCCGCGAAGGCTCACAAACGGCGCCTTCGCCACACCGAAACAGCAGGGCCCTGAAGGACGGACCGGGCCTGCGGGCCACGGCCCCCAGTTCCTAACGTTGCTTTCTGAACCGACAAGAAAACTAGCTCTCTGAGCGCTGTCTGTCTTCCACCGCGAAGGCTCCCCTTCCTTGCAACGTCCGACACCACACAAAAGCGGCGCCTTCGCCACAGCCGAAACAGCAGGCCTGAGGGACGGACCGGGACTGCAGACCACGGCCCCCAGTGCCTAGCGTTGCTTTCTGAACCGACAAGAAAACTAGCTCTCTGAGCTGTCTGTCTTCCAGCCGCGAAGGCTCACAAACGGCGCCTTCGCCACACCGAAACAGCAGGGCCCTGAAGGACGGACCGGGCCTGCGGGCCACGGCCCCCAGTTCCTAACGTTGCTTTCTGAACCGACAAGAAAACTAGCTCTCTGAGCTGTCTGTCTTCCAGCTGCGAAGGCTCACAAACGGCGCCTTCGCCACACCGAAACAGCAGGGCCCTGAGGGACAGACCGGGCCTGCGGGCCACGGCCCCCAGTTCCTAACGTTGCTTTCTGAGACCAGAAAACTAGCTCTCTGAGCTGTCTGTCTTCCAGCCGCGAAGGCTCACAAACGGCGCCTTCGCCACACCGAAACAGCAGGGCCCTGAAGGACGGACCGGGCCTGCGGGCCACGGCCCCCAGTTCCTAACGTTGCTTTCTGAACCGACAAGAAAAAAAACTAGCTCTCGATCTGAGCTGTCTGTCTTCCAGCCGCGAAGGCTCACAAACGGC